CATTGGAGTTTAGAAGAATGAGATGTGATCGAATTAAAAACTATGTAAGATCCTGAGGGGCTGGTCAGTGTGAATGCTAAAAGGATGTTTCCTCTTTTGAGTTGGACTAGAAATAGAGGACATAGTTTAAAAATATGGAATTGCCCATTTAAGATAAAGAGACATGTTTTCTTTCAGAGGGTAGTGAGTCTTTGGAACTCTTCCCCAGAGAATAGTGGAGGCCAAGTCATTGTGTTTTTTTTTAAAGGTAGAAGTAGATTCTTAACTAACAAGACAGTTAAAGGTCATTGGGAATAAGTGAAAATGAGGAGTTGTGGCCTCAATCAGATCAGCCACAATATTTCTAAATAGTGGATTAGGCTCAAAGGACAGAATGGCCTAATCTTGTTCCTAATCTGTACATTTGTATCAGTCAGTGATGAGCTTTTGTGTTGGATGAGCACAACGTATTCTACTTATGGAAAGTATTCTGCTTTGGAACTGGAACTTCATTTGATGAGACCCGATTTCAATTTTTGTAATTCAACATTTCAGGGGCCCACAAGGACTATTTGCAAAGGACACTTTGTAATATTAAATTATAACATATTGTTTTATGTTCATGTTCTTAATTGTGCAAGTAGCAATTGATTTAATGTTGCCACAGCTCACAGTGATTTCATTTGTATTCATCCCCTGCCCTCAGGCTTTAGTATTGTGTGAGATGATATTTCAATTTATTCTTCCTTCAAAGCATCACCAATCTGTTATCTTTTAAACAAAAACGTAATGCCGTGATTTCCCTGTTTTATTAGTTCACTGAAACATCTCCTTGGTGTTACTGCTACTGCTTTAACACAGAAGATTGGCATTTAGCATGTTCAGTTGTTATTTTTAATATAACATGGACAAGGGGCAAAGTATTAATGAAAAATTATTTGATTAGATTTGTTTTTGAGTGATAGAGGACAGTCATTTTAGTCACAATTGTATAAAAAATAATGAGATTTTGACAGTTTATTTTGTTGGTCCATTTCAACCATTGCTCAGAGGGATAAACATTCAGTTCCCCTTTGTATTTTGATGAATTTGATGTATCTAACATATCTCCAAGATTGGAAATCTTACTAAACTTAAACTAGTCATCAGAGTACAAAAAAGAATGTTGAAGTGATTGAGAGGATACAGAGTGGAGAAATAGGGTGATTGAGGTGATAGAGTGATTGGACTGTATAACTTGTACGGGTTCTTACTGGTAGAACAGAAGTTCAAGAGGTGATTTGATTGCTGTGTATAGGATTTTAGAGTCTAGATACTATTGACCGTAACAAGCTGTTAAGTCTTGTCCAAAATCGTAAAATCAGAAAATACCATCTATGCTAAATTGGGGGTAAATTCAAAACCAGCATGTGGAAATACTGGTTGAAAGTTTTCATCAATTAATGAGTCGATACCAGAACTGAAAGTGGGACCTGATTCTACATGGGTGGATGGTGAGGTTCTGAAAAGCTGGTCAATTAAGAAGCCATTATAAGGATCACTGCTGCCATTCAGAAGACCAATTAGAAGGCTGGTTGATGAGCACCACCAAAGTAAGTGGCTATTGCAGAAGCTACAGAAAGTTGGAGAGGGCAGCGGTGCGCTGAGCTTCCTTCCAAGATGGGATGTTTTTTATTTGTACCTTTCGGTGGCCTCTTGGTGATCGAGGGGAGAGGTGTCACACCTTCCATCAGCAGGTCAGCAGCAACATGGCTGCGGGAACAGCTATTGTTGCAGGAGGGGTTCCTCCATTAACCGTGGAGCAGCCATAAAGGGTGACTGCCTCCAATCCCACATGAACATATTGGCACACTACCATATTTACATACATGGTATTGGTGCCTGCAACCACGGGTAAAATGCTGCTGAGGCTGGTGAAATGGGCCTTAGTTAGTTGTCTAATGAGTGACTGCATCAGTGAGGATCCTGTCACTAGCAATAAACCTTCAGGCTACCCTCCCAATACTACCTCCTACATGTCACTATCCCTCCTGGTTCCAAGCCCATTCAGATTAATATTTCTCAAAATGGTTGCTTAAACCATAGAGGAAGCTTCCTGGAGAAACAATGCAAGATATTAATATTAACATATTCAAATGCAAATTAAGTATATTTCTATCAAAATATTCTTTTGGGAGACAAATATATTAATAATTTGAAACTTGACAAGTGGTAATGGAAACATGCTTCGGATTAACAGGTGACTTTGGTCTTGTATTCTCAAAGTTTTCCACTATGGGAGGCACAGTGGGTCAGTGGTTAGCACTGCTGACTCACAGAACCAGGGACCCAGGTTCAATTCCAGCCTCGGGCGACTGTCTGCGTGAAGTTTGCACATCCTCTCCATGCCTGCATGGGCTTCCTTTTGGGTGCTCTGGTTTCCTCCCACAGCCCAAAGATGTGCAAGTTAGGTGGAATGGCCATTCTAAATTGCCCATAGTATCTTGGGAAATGCAGGCTTACAGGGATAGGATAGGGAGGTGGGTCTGGGTGGGATTTCCTTGGAAGGTCAATGTGGACCCAATGGGTTGAATGGCCACACTGTAAGGATTCTATGAAGAGTGAAATAGGAAAGAACATTTCTGATGATTCATTCCTCCTTTTGTCTGTCTTCTTGTCGCTAGTGATATTTCTTCTTTGCCTCATATATATTTTTGAGGCATCTGACCAAATTTAAATTGCCTGTTGGCAATAAGGCCAGAAATTATTACTTTACCCTCTCTGTCCAAGGATGAGCCACTCATGGTGAGGTTCACTTTTTTTTTTAATTTTCAGTTTTCAGCTGTACTTGCCCATTATTGTGGTACAGATTGTACTCCAGTTGTAGATTAAAGTCTTTTTGGTTCATAATGGTTCTTCCTTCAAGCACTATGAGGTAAATACAAACACAAATACAAGAATGGGATTGGGTGTGTATGTGTGTACGCAATGCTATTAGTTTGAGATTTGGAAATATGAAAATTTATCAGCAAATCAGAACACAGCCTATGAATAATCTCCCAGTTAGAGCATAATATATCATTCTTCAATAGAGAGTGTACATACATTTCCCCACACTGTTCTTCAATAAATATTGGCATTTACACTTCAGACAATGACTCTGAGATGGTTCTCCCAACTTCAGACTGAATTGGTGTTATTTCATTGTATTGATAGATTAAAAAATAAAATAGTTCAACTTCTAGAAGCATTCACTTGTTCAGATAATAGTATCTGTGCGAAGAGAAATGTAGGCTGTGATGGGATAGGCAAGGATTTGGGTGGGTATAGGATTTCATGCTACTGGTTAATGAGACACTTTCCTGGCTCCATTCCATCCCTGGACAATTTTTCCAGAAGCAGGGAATGACAGGACTTTCAAACTGCAAGTGGTGGGTTGCCAGCTGAAGCTCTTGAAAGTCTTTCCCTGAAACCCTTCACATTCCTGCGGCAGTGCAGTACAGCAAAACTGCCTGAAAGTGACAGCGTGACGGCAGACCAGGACCTTGTATTCCAGCCATGTTCAGAGATGTTTCCCTGCCTGTCTCTTGGGTTCAGCTGTAGCTATAGCTCACCTGTGGAGGAGTAGTTGTGACCCTGTTGCGAACGCCTATTTTTAAAAACATATTATTTTAGCTTTTAAAACCATTGCCATACCTTACCTACGTTGGAATCCTGCTTCTGCTCCCCTGTTTTGGGTTCTCCAGGTTCGGCCCCACTATCCCTAATCAGCTGGTAAACTCTCTCTCGATACTAGTTGACTAACATCAGGAGAAGCACACATGAAAGTGATGGTTTCCCACATGGTATGGGGTTCTGCTTCCCATGGAACAATGTAATGATGGAACAATGTAATGTTATTACTAATTTTAATGTGCTATTAATTTTAACATTATTGCAATGCGAGCCATAAAATTAATGTATCATTTAATTACGCCAAATAGTGCAGAGACCCTCTTGAGATTCATCTTCTCAATTGAAACAGATAATAAAATCTCTGATATTTGCCCTTCAATAAACACATGGGGAGAAATGTACAAAGAAGATAGCCTAGCTAGTCTAACATTGATTGAGCCTAATGACTTAACTCACCTCGACGGTTGCAGTTTGTTCAATATTTGATAATTGTTGCAATAGTTATAGTTTTTGTTCAATACTGAATGAAGCACCTACTCTGCTTTTCAAAAAAAAAGCTATCAAATTTTCATTCTGGTAATTGGTTTTATTCTTTCAAATGACTTTGTTGCATAGGTTGACAAAATATGTCACATATTAAATTTATACTGTATCCTTCCAGCATTGTGACCATTCTGAAAGGCCCAGTTAACTATCAGAGGCTCAGGGATTTGTTAATGAATTCTGTAATATCACAGAAGTCTTGTTAGGTAACAGCAATTGACTCCAGTAACTAATTGGCTAAATACAGTATACTTTAGGAGAACTATGAGGGGGATAATGTGATATTGCAGAGTTTTGTAGTGCCAATATTTTGTTCTTGTATATCATCAGCTTTCAAGTTTTTTACTTCTTTGTGAGGCTGTCAGTTCTGTCACTCTACATGAGATATGCATTTCTCTGTGCCCACATTTCTTCATGCATAACATCCAATTAATCTTCTGCACTTTGTTACAAAGGAGTAAAGATCAGATAAATCAGATTGAACTGTAGCCACATATTCCCTAGACAATTGGTAAAAGATTGGTCTGCTCTTCCAGACCTCTTAGCCTGGATTTTCGGCTCATGTTAATGTCAGTTTTAAAGTAATGCTAGTAGTATAAACAAATTGAAACATCTAAGCTGATGTGTTTTAAAAAAAAGGTCAAAGGGAAGGAGACAAGATATGTGTCTCTGTCAACTGACCATGCTTTCTAAGTAGATTAACTTTTAAACATCTTCTGCCATGGTTTGCATCAATCAATGATAATGCTGACATATTCGGGCATATATTTCTTGTTGACTGGTATTTAATTCTAAATGATTTGATGACTTCAATTTTTTTTTAGAATGGATTCACTCCACTCTATATGGCTGCCCAGGAAAACCATATTGAAGTTGTGAGATTCCTTCTGGAGGTTGGAGCTAACCAGAGCACAGCCACTGAGGTATGTTACTCCACCCTGATGATTAATTGTAGAATAAGAAATGACCATGAGACTGTTACCAATATGAACATTAAAATGTTGGAAGCCTTCCCTCCCAGTCATTGATGGTTTTTATTGGTGATGGTTTACAAAAACATTAAGTTTTATGGGTATAGAATTTTCCGTCAGAATACTGCTGAGACTAACGGTGTTCCCTGATTTATTGATGCCCTTTCCATAGAGCAGTAGACGTTGTTTATTTGGATTTTAGTAAAACCTTCAACAAGGTTCTGCGTGATAGACTAATTAATAAAGTTAGGTCATGTGGGATTCCGGGTGAGCTTGCCAATTGGATACACAATTGGCTTAATGACAGGAAACAGTGTGTGGTGGTGGTGGATGGTTGCTTTTTGGCGGCCAGTCACCAGCAATGCTCCACAGGGATTGGTTCTGGGTTCTCTTTTGTTTGTCATTTATATAAGTGATTTGGATGAGAATATAGAAGGCATGATTAGTAAATTTTGCAGAAGACACTAAAATTGGTGGCATAGTAGACAGTGAAGAAGGTCAAGTAGATAAGTGGGCTGAAAAATGGCAGATGGAGTTCAATCTGAACAAATGCGACGTATTGCATTTTGGTACAACAAACAAGGATAGGGCTTGTACAATTAATACTAGGGCCCTGGGCAGTGCTGTAGAACAGAGGGACCTAGGGGTGCAGGTACATAATTCTTTGAAATTTGTGTTGTAGTTAAGACAAGGTGATTAAAAAGGTGCTTGGCACACTTGCTGTCATTGCTCAATCCTTTGAGAAAAGGAATTGGGAAGTCATGTTGAGGTTGTACAGGACATTGATGAGGCCTCTTCTGGAGTACTGTATTCAGGTCTGGTCGCCCAGTTATAGGAAGGATATTATCAAGCTGGAGAGGGTTCAGAAGAGATTTATGGGATGTTGCCGGGTATGGAAGGATTGAATTATGAAGAAAGGCTGGATAGGCTGGGAATCATTTCACAGGAGTGTGGGAGGTTGAGAGGCGACCTTATAGAAGCTCATAAAATAATGAGAGATATAGATAGAGTTAATGGTAGTTGTCTTTCCCGCAAGATGGGGGATTTCAAGACTAGGGGGTACATTTTTAAGGTGAGATAGATTTTAAAAAGACATGAGAGGCAATTTCTTTTACACAGAGAGTGGTTCATGTGTGGAATGAACTTCCTGAGGAAGTGATGGATGCGGGTACAATTACAACATTTAAAAGACATTTGGATAAGTACGTGAATAGGAAAGGGTTGGAGGGATATGGGCCAAAAGCAAGGCAGGTGGGGGACTAGTTTAGTTTTGGATTATATTCGGCATGGACTGGTTGGACCGAAGGGTCTCCTTCCGTGCTGTATGACTCTATATAGTCCTACAAAAATGTCCCTTCTAGTATCTATCCAATTCACTTTTAAAAGCCACAACTGAATCTACTGGCACCACCCTTTTAGGCAACACTGTCCAGATTTTGAAAAGTTGCTGCGTGACAAAAAGTTATTTTCTTATGTCACCCTCGGCTTGTTTACCAAACACTTTTAAATTCTTCATCCACTGGTTCTTTACCTGTTTGCCAATGGGAACAGTTTCTCATTATTTTGTGGAGACCCTTAAAATTTTAAATTTATCTGTGAAAATTTCTCTTCTCCAAAGAGAAAAATCTAAGCATCGTCAATATATCCATGTAATTCCTGCATAAATACCAACCTTTTCCTAGCTACCGTTAGTTCTGGACCCGAAATGTTAACTCTGATTTTTTTCCACAGATGCTGCCAGACCTGATGAGCTTTTCCAGCAAATTCTGTTTTTGTTCTGACTTCCAGCACAGTTTTTTTTAAATTTTTTTGTCATGAAATTTAATCCCCTCCTTCCTGCCACCATTCCCATATGATCTGCACCCTTTCTATTTTATAAGTGTTTTATAAATAAATATTGCAAACAACTGTTACTGCACTATTAATTGAGGTTTATGTTGAGGAGCTTTGAGATGTTTCTTAGACACAGGATAAACATGTTTACCTCTTATTGATAGGAATGTGAATAAAAGCAAAAGAGAGAAACTGAAATTGAAAAATAAACTTTTTCCTGTCATTCATTTCCATACGTTTTATAAAAAGTAATCTAAGTTGTGAAGGAAAGAGTTCAATTATCTCACATAAAGCAGCCCCTAAAAACCTTTAGGGTATGAAATTCAATGAGTTTTGTTCAATGAAATAAATCATTTCATGTAAATTTCTGTTTAGAGTACCAGTAAATTGACAGTGCTTTCCCAAACGTGACTTGTGGTAGGTCCTCTTGGACCGCTGAACCTATTAGTTATTTAATCTCATTTTCATGTAGCAAGTTAGACAGGTTAATGTTTGCTGTGGGCTAATATCTCAGTCTTTAACATATTGTAATTGCTGTAATGTTTAAATGTTAGCAAGTCATACCATCGTATATCAACAAACTAAATATAAGAGAAGCAGAAGGCCTCTATTTGCAATCAAAATTCACATTCTGCATTAACAAAAATGCAGAACGTGCCTGAATCCAGCATGAAGTACATAGGCAATAGGTAATCTTTCAAGAAATTTGACATAATTTTACACCAGCTATATATTCCTTCAAGCATAAAAACCAAAAACGTCAGTTATATGTGGCTAACAAAGTATTGTATACTATTAATATTAATTGGGGAAGGGCAGAGAGTTTGATCTGATTCCATAAATGGAAAGAAATGGAGTGTATTCCTTTTACCTTCTCTTCCTAATATTTGCAATATCCAGGGAATTTGATGCATTTAAGCGTGGATGGTTCAAGTTTTCCCTATCAAAATTACGAGATAGGGCTTGGGATGGGGTGAGCTAGGAAGGAGATTTACTACCTTATGTGAGTTATGAGAAAGTGGAGCCCATTTTGCTAGGTCAAAGAAACTTAAGGAAAGATTTGATGCAAAGGGAAAACAGTACAGAAAATGTTAATGCAGAATGTGAATTTTGATAGCAAATAGAGGCCTTCTGCTTCTCTTATATTTACTTTGATAAAACAAATTCAATGTATTCTTAACTAGTTGGTATAAATTTAGCACATTCTCATCAGAATGACAGGGGAGATTCAGAGAATATTTTGCAGAAAGGTTCCTCAGGCCGTGGAAATGTATTGGAAGGAACTGTGTTGCATGTAAATTCACAATTCTCTTTTGTCAAAAAAAAATCAGTTATATTTTAAGAAAAAAGATGTTCAAAAGGGTATGGAGAAAGTACAGGGAAATGGGACTATGTGAGTTGATGTTTCAGAGAGATATTGCAGGTGCAATTGGCTAATTTGCTTCATTCTGTACTGTAAAATCCTGATTCTGTTACAGATACCCTTGGGACTGAAACCTACAGGCACCATCTGTACTTGCCCCTAGGTTATGGTGACCCAATACGGGTTAGAATTTTAATAAGGTACAAACGTAGACAAACATGCTGTAGGCTTCCTATCAATCAGTTAGATAAATGGTAAATAACCTTGATATTTGAAGATTCAGTCAAGATGTGCATTTTTGGTAAATGTTAAATGGAAACTTTGTTTGTACAAAAGAGGCCTTCTGTTTCTCTTTATTTCGTTTGTTAATTAGTGGGTGATTGGTGTTTGTTTTGGGCATTTGCACTAGAAATGGCCGTAAATACAATTTAAATATTTATATCTTATGTTTCACCTAAATATTTGAATTGCTGTCCGGTTTCAGGGCTACTTGCAGATTCAATGGAGAAAGATGTCAGCTGTATAGAATTTCAGGGGTGCTGAATCGTTAGAGAGATAAGAATGTACAGATTATTAACATTTGACAGGACATAAAATGTGAATTTAACAATTGGAGGCGTTTCCCACTTGACTGCCCAAAGTGTCAAAGGAGAAGTTTAATTGGCTGTATGCAAAATATTCGTTCTTTCCTTGGGCAGACGTCCCACCTTGAAGAACTACTGGCCTTTTCTGTAGTCCTGGGACTACCACTTGAAGCTATGGCCGCTGCTGGGACTACAAACAGTACCTTGAATCTAAAACCTGGAGTTCAGGATCAGGTGTGGGGAATCTCCTGGCAGGAAAGGGAGCTGAGGTCCAGAGGAGGTGCCAGTTCTGGCTGGGTATATTCCGGAAGATGTTGGTGCAAGACACATCACAGAATCACAGCAATGATTTAAAAGAGTTTCCGTTGTGTGAATTTCTTAGCACCGAATTGGCTAATATTGTACTGCACTTGTAATAGTGTCAAGTGCAGAAATAGATGTATCACCCATCTGACCAACGGTACTAATAGGTCTCATTCAATGTAAAAATCAACACCGCAACATTGGTCCAATGGACCAATGGACCAACAGACCAAGTAATTAGGGGAAACATGTTCCCAACATGTAACCTGTCATGTCCTATTAGAATTTTGTCTGTTTCAATAAGGTCAACCCACATTCTACTCAACTCTAGTGAATAAAGACCTAACCTGTTTAGTCATTCTCAATAACCAACACCTTCATCCCAGGAATCAACCTAGTGAATCTCTGTTGAATTACCTCCAACGCCACTATATCCTTCCTTAAAAACGTGGACCAAACTGGACACATCCACTAGGTACAGCCTCACCAACACCATGCACTGTTGAGACATGATTTCCCTATTTTAAAACTCCAACACCCCAAGCAATGAAAGTCAAAATTCAATTTGCCACCTTAAATTGCTTGCTGCACTTGCATACTAACCTTTTTGTTTTTTTCCCTCAATAACACATTCATCCCACTTTGCACCTTTTTGAAGTCTCTACTCATTTAATTAATAGTCTGCCTTTTGATTCTTCCTATCAAAATGCATGACCTCACACTTTGCTATATTCAACACTGTCTGCATGGGTTTTCCCCCCACTCACTCAGTCAATCTGTATCCCTGTTCAGATTGCTTATGTCCTTGACAAAATACGTACTTTTTTTTATCATTAGCAAATTTGGAGACATTACACTCTCTCCCTTCC